CTCCCAAAGGAATTGCAGTACACCCAAACCCCTCTGGGTTTTTACCCCCCAGCACGCTTCACAGCTCCTGCCCTGGGGATGCCTGGGGAGGGCTGTGGGCCCTGGGGATGGGAGGAGAGGGATGTGGTCCCTAGAGATGCCAGGAGAAGGATGCCAAGACAGGGATGTGGTCCCTAGGGATGCCAGGAGAGGGATGCAGCTCTCTGGCCACATGCTGTCCAGTCGCCAAGGGACAATGCAACAGGGTCACTCTTGGCTGGAGGATCAAGGCAGCAACCCCTTCCAGCCTGGGATTGTTTAACATTTTTATTACAACAAAAAGAGAAAAGAACATGTGGCATGAGCCAGCTTCGCCCCCGAGCTAACCGTGGGGACCGGGGAAGGAGCACATGGGCTCACAGGATGAGGGACACCAGATGGGATCCAGATTGACACAAACATGCTCTTCCCTGAGCCGGGGCAATGGCGGGACAGTGAGGTGCTCCCCATCACTGGCAAATCCCTTCTCATGGACACCCGTTGCAGCAGGTGCCTGGCTCATGGTGGCCCTGGGAGGAAAAGACTATTTTTGCATCGGGTTTTTTTGCAGGAAAAGAGGAACGAAGCAGCTCACGGGGCTACAGCGGGGACAAGGGTATTTGTGCATCCAACTCGGTACATCCAGTTTTTAAGCATAATTCTAGGTCACGAATAAGAGGAAACATGCTCTGGATTTCAAGCAAAGCATTGTGTTGCAAAAGAAGGGGTTTTGCTCAAGTCCCTGCCTGCTGCTGGGGATCAAGGCTTCCCAAAATGTGGCCTCTCCACCCCCGTGGACAGGAACCGGCAGCAGCTCCCCCTCCGCCACTGCCTCTCTATATATCCTCGGTTGAGTCACTTAAGGCCACGTTTGAGCAGCCCCAATTGCTCCTGGAGGTACAAATCAGCTCCAGGAGGAGCAGAGATGAAGACGAGGACCACAACACTGGGATGTCCCCACCCCATGCCTGGCCAGCTGACTGGCTGGGCGCTGAAAATCGGAGCCCAGTGGTGCAGGACCTGCTTGCTCAGGAGGTGGCAGTTCTCAGAAACCAGCTTCAGGTGAAAGGAAAAAAAAAAAAAAAAAAAAAGAAAGAAAAAAAGGAAGTCAAAGCAGTCTCACGCTGAGCAGAGATAAAAATACTGCTCCTCCGGCGGCCACGGCTGAAGACGTACGAGCCATGACACAGGCACCACGGGTTTTCACCGGAAGCAGTCTTCCCGACTCGTCTCTGCATGCCATCAATTTACGGGATGCACTGGATTTCATTAAAATGCTATAAAGAAACCAGCACAAATGCAAATCCCATTTCCCTTCCCCTTCCTGCAAAAACATCTGGTCAACAGAAACGGCTCGGGACATTTCCGTTGCAAATCACGGTTTTCATGGAGTTTAGGACTTGGCCATATAAAAGGCACTTGGGGCTGAGGTTCAGCTGAGGAACAGGGCAGCCCTGAAACCCTGCAGGGCTGCCCTAAAACATGCAAACTTGCTTTGCCAGCTTTGGCTTAAATTTATGAAAGTGGAGAGGCCTCAGAGCTGCTCAATCCTATGAGCTATATGAGAATAAATGGCGTGGGAGGGGAGAAAGCCGTTAGTGCCTCCATGGAAAGCAGGGAAGACTGGCGAGCATCGCCTTCATACCAGACATCAGAGAATCCACCGGGGCTGCATGCCTAGGACCTTCCCCAGGGTGTCACTGGTTTTCCTCTGCACGTGTATATATCCAGCCATAGGTATAAGCATTATGGATACCCTGGTATTCCCATTTTCTGGGTGCTCTGCACATCAGGATGGCCCCGTTGGTGCTGGCACCGGTTCCGGCAGCTTTTGTGCCCCAGAGTTTCATCACCACACCCCAGCAGCGATGGGTGGCACGGCATCCCCGCACCCCTCCTCTCCCCAGCACACCAGCACCCTCCAGCGCGTCCCCAGGGTGGGGGTCTGGGTGCCCTGAGCCCACCAGTACCCTGCAGCCAGGCCATGACCCACTCCCAGTAGAGCTCCGGATCCCACTGTCTCCAAACCCCTCCTTCGCAACGTCATTTTTCCAGCGCTCGAGGGAGGAAGGAGCGATGCCAAAGCCAACCCAGCGGCGGCTGTGAGCATGGGAAGCCCCAACTCATCCCTGGGGACTGGGGTGCCCAGGCCGGGCAGCACCGCAGGGACCGCCGGCAGCTCCGGCACGGCTCGCCGACACTCACCCCTTCGCCCAGCACCAAAGCCACCCAAGCAGTAAATGGGATTAAGGACTTTCAAAGCACCCTGCTCCCTTTGATGCGGCGCACATTACGGGATTAGGCTGAGAGGCCCCATTGGAGCACACCGAGGGGAAAGCAGGGGGGAAAATAAGATAAAAGCTGCCAAAAGCAGAGGGATGAAGCAGCAGCTGAGCCGCGGTGGGGCACGTGTGGGGCCACCCTCCTTTCCCCCTGCATCCTGACTTTCCAGGGTCGTGGCAAAGTGCTGAATATTTAGGGTTTGGCTTGATGCTGCAAAGCCGTGAGGCTGAGCTGGATTTCCATTTACATTGTATTATTGAAAGAGTAGAAAGGGAGAAGAGGAGGGTGCTTCTGGGGAAACCTCAAGGGTGACCAACCCTAATGGTCCAGAGACCAGCTGGAGATGAAAGCCCCCAAGGATTGTTTTTACAGTTGCTGATTTAAAACCATTCAGCTTTCTCAATGATCAACAGCAACTTCAAATCAGGAACAGATCCACGACATGGGTGAAAGGCACCGGCAAAGCCCTGTGAGCATCCCTGGGCAAGAGGATGGAGGGGACTTCCTGCAGCCTTCTGCAGTGAGTTATTGGTTATTATTTAGTTATTTTAAAAATAAAAAGAACAACAACACTAATAAGTTGTTCTGTTCCCACTGCTCTGGGCTTTGCCCCCTTTCTGGGTTTGGGGAATGGGAACCACCAGGAATCCACCGCCCCCAGCATTCAACTGCAGTTACTGGGAAAGGGGCTGGATTGATTCTGCTGTAAACGAGACAGGATCTGGCCCCGGCCCAGTTAATTAGAAAGGAAGGACCCGCCCTGAGAATATTTGCACAGGAAGCAATTTGCTCCGGAGATTCGCGAAATCCAGTGAGGAACATCCCCCCCCACTTCCGCGGACCTGGCTGAGAAACCCCCCTGTTCAGGGCCCGGGGGGAGCGCAGGGTCCCCGGCCTCGTGGTGACAGGGACTCGCCGGGAAATCTCCGTGGGACAGAGATCGGCTGCAAACCGCAAGGAATAACACTGCTGAGAGCTGGGGGAACTTGCTAAATGGCTTGTTTTCAGTGCCTCCCACCCATGGGTCAGAGCCAGGCAGGGGCTGCGGGGAGAGGAAGAATGTGCTGTGCGTTGGGCTTGCTTCCCAAACGGAGGGAGAGGGGAAAAAAATGAAGGGAAAATAAAAAACAACAAACAGTGTTTACAAGCACCAGGTCCTGGGGGCAGGTGGGATGCAGTGGGGCTCATCCTGCAGGACAAGGGTGCTGCTGCGGTGTGCAAGGGTCAAATCCTTTGCAGCCACGACGTGCACAGGTTAAAAAAAAAAAAATGCACAGGGGCTTGGTGCCTGGGGGGCACGGGTGAGTGCCGTGGAGGGGTGAGCTCATCCCTGATTGCCAAATTCCCACCGTGCTGCAGAGCACGGCCAGCCCCGGGAGGGCATCCCCTCACTTTACATTTATTTTTGGCTCTTGCAAAGCCCCGATGAGGAGGAGCAGAGCCAGCAGCAAATTTGGCGGCAGCAGTGCCTGAAATAATACCAGCCCAACGCCTCCCCCTCAACACCCGGGGGTGGCTGTTCCCTGCGGCAGGGGCCGACATGCTGGGAGCACCCTCAAAGAGCCCCAAAGTGATGCTGTTCAGAGCCAGACCTCCCCGTGACCTAGGATGGGGACACACACTCCCACGGGGACAAACAACCGCAACCCTGACTCGACGGAGCAAAACTGGCTTTTACTTTCAGATTTCACAATTTCGGTCTTGTTTCTTTTTTTTTTTTTTTTTTTTTTTTTTTTTTTTTAATATTTAATATTGGAGTCGTTTGACAGAAATAGCAAGAATTTAGCCATCTGCTCCCTGGCCCTGCTGACACAGTGAGCAGCAAACACAGACTGAAGGCAGAGACAAGGCTCCAGCTCTACCCAAGTCTTCCTCCTTCTGAAGCACAAGTTAGTCAAAGTTAAATGAGCACACAAAAAAAAAAAAAAAGGGAAAAGAGAAAACCCAGCCCACTGTGCCTGCGTAAGACCTGCCATGTGGAGGAACAGTCTTTTTAAAGATTAAACACCACGGCTCCCCCCGCATCACTCCCCGTTCACTCACATCCTGCATCATCTCCGCTCCAGCCGGCATCTAAACACCACGGGAGCTCCCCCGGGTAGCTGAGATCTGAATTTCTAGCCACAAAAGTACTTACAAAAATAAAATCATACTCCCTTACAGGTCCCATGGGGAGCAGAGGAAGGCACAGAGCCTAATTTCCCCTTCCTTTCCCAACTTGCCCAGGCAAGCAGATTCCCTGGCTGCTGAAGCGGCGGTACGGTGGGGACAGGGTGAATTTGGGGTTTGCCAGACCCAGTGACCCCTCGCCTTGCTGGGATGGGCCCATGGGGCTGGGAATGAGCAGCGGGGAGCCCACCAGCCCCTCCCCTCAGCTCTGAAGCCGCGAGCAAAGCAAGTGCTCTGCTTCTAGCCAGAAAAGCCAGGTTCGGGGTCCCAGTGAGGAGCAATGCAACTGCATCTCGACCCAGCGCAATAATTAGTGCTCACATCGCCCTCGGCACACGGTCGCGGTGCTTTTTGCCCTGCTGAGCGCGAGCCTGTGGCAGTGGCTCTACATCTCAGGGGTCTCAAACGCGGGGTGCAGCCTCTGTTCCTCCCCATGGGAGGTGCTGGCACCCCGGCATCGGCCCCAACCCGCTGCCGAGCGACCCGCAGCATCACCTGGCCCGAAGGGGCAAAAGCCGGCAGGTCCTTACCTTGGGCGGGTCGAAGAGCTCCAGCACGTATTCCTCACCGTCGGACGTCCCCGCTCGCCGCAGCACCAGGCGGCAGCGCTGCCAGCGCGTCCCGCTGTCCAGGGAGGTCTCGTCCAGCAGCCCGTACTTGAGCAACCCCTCCTTGCGCACCTCAGGGGGCTGCTCCCGTGACAGCCCCCACGGCAGGATGCGTTTGCCCAGTCCCGGCTTAAGAGCCGCCTCCGCCACCATGTCCCCATCCCCATCCCCGGGGAGGGCGTCCGAGGAACGGCGTCGGAAAAGGCTGCGCCAGCTCCGGCGCAGCTGGCTGAGGGAGAAGGGTCGCCGTGCCGGCCCCGCCAACTCCTCCGAGCTCCAGGACTTGCGCAGCCCCATCGGGGTGGCCTCGAGGGCTCGGCTGGGCTGCTCGGGGCGGGCACCCGGCTCCGCTTCGGTTTTGGTGGCCACCGTGCCCACGGAGGCATCCGCGTGCCGCCGGTGCGTCTCCCGGTAATCCCGCGCCGGGCCGGCGGGGAGGATGCGGAGCTGGTTCATGGCGAAGCCTTCCTTCACCTCATGGCAGAAGTACTGCTGGAAGAGGTCGGTGAACTGCACCGAGAAGTTCTCGGCGGCCAGGAGGTCATGGTGCGGGTGCTCGGTGGCGAAGCGCAGGTAATGCCGCGCCAGCTCCTTGGCGGTGCTGATGGCGTGCAGCTCGCAGAATTCATGCCAGCCCCGGGGATGCGCTGGCGTGCCGGCCGGCAGAGCGTGCCCATTCATTGCCGTGGCTCTAGCGAGGCGGCCGCGCTGCAAGACAGAGCACACAGGGGTGGTGTCAGGGCAGCCCTTGCACCCCGAAAACTCCCCCCTCAAACCCAAACAGCCCCGGGGGTGCCGTGGGTAGTTTGACCCCGGAGCAAAGATGCTTCATTCACACCCAGGGGTGGCCGGCTTCCCGGTGAGCAGCACATACACGGCTACGGCTTGCCGAGGGCTTCCCCATCCCTAGCTGGCAGGGCAGTGCCTCAGTTTCCCCAACTGCTGAGTGGGGGGGCAGGCAGGTCCTGGAGCGGGGCGGCTGCGCGGTTTCCTGCCAGCACAGCTGCCTGCAGCTGCCCGCGGGGACGCCCGGCCGGGCCGCATCCGCTCTCCTCCTGCCAAGGCTTCGCAGCGCCGATGGGTTTCCCTCCAGGGACCGATTTCAACCGAGCTGATAAAAACTGGAGTGGGGGCGGGAAGGGAGGAAACAACATGAAAAGCTACAGAAATCCCGGGATGGAGCTGCCTCGCCTGCCAGATCCACTCAGCCCCACCGGCCTGGGGAGATGCGGCTGCGCCGCTGGAGCAGGCAGGGATGAATGTGTGTCCCTGGGGAGATGCTCCGCTGCCCGTGGGACCAAGGGGCCATCGGGCTCTCTGGCAAACCACTCCATATCTCTGCCCCGAGCAGATTTTGCTGCGAGGCCAATCTGACGGCACCCACGGCCGGCTTGCAGCTGCCCCGGCGTGCCTGGCAGCGGCGTTCCCCACAGCCGGCCCAGCTGCACCACGCTGCTTACCACCAAACCTCGTGCTCGCCCATGGCACTTATCGGGGCCGTGCACGCTGCTCGGGCAGGAAACATCAGCCAACCCACCCGGATCCTGCCATGCCGGCGTGGGCACCGCCACCTCCCTGAAACTCCAGCCGCCCAGCCAACAGCACCCCGGCTTCTGGGAGGGGAGAAAAAGTGATTGCATTTGTTGGGGGGGGCTGGGGTGGGGCAGAAAAATAAAATAATAATAAAAAAAAAAATAAAAAAAGGCAGGCCAGGAGGAAGTGAGTGAGGCGATGCGGAGCGCGTCAGCACGGCGGATCTTGTTTGCAGGCGGGGAGGCGATAACGCCGGGAAGCGGACCTCTATCTCTGCCCACCCGCCGCCCTTCCTAGCACGTCCTGCGAAGTTTCTAGGCCAGGGGGAGATGTTATCTGTCCCCCGCCAGCCTCACTCGGGGCCCGGCTTCTCAGAAGAGCCGCCTGAAGCCGGGGGGCCAGCCGGCATCGTGGTGATGCCGGCTGTGCACCCGGCTGCGGCCCGGCCGAGCCAACCCCCCCCCACCCCCGGCGGGGCCCCCGTCTATCAGCATCGCCAGCCTGACGATGACTCAGCACCTCCCAGCTTCCTCCCAGCACCCGGGAATCGCCGCCACGGTCGCCGGCGCCGCCGGCACGTTCCGCCGGACGCTCCCCCCCTCCCAAAATACAGTTGGAAGCGGGACACCCACGGGGATGGCTTCCCAGGTTGGCAGGAGTTTCCCAGGACAGAGAATTCGCCTTCCAAGTTTTCCAGCTCACTGCGTGCCGGCTTCGGGAGAGGTTTGCGGCGCGGGAAAAGCCGGGCTTCGCCTGTGCCACGCGGCGGGAAGCAGCCGGAGGCCGTCTCTGGTAGCAACGTGCTTTTTCCAACCGGCGCGACGATGGGAAATACACCCCCCCCCAGCGCTACCTCCCGCCGGCACCGGCACAACCCGCGATGCCGTCCTCCCCAGCACAACTTCTCACGTGGAAATGGTTATTCCAGCTGAATCCCACGCTTGAGCTCCCGCAGCAGCGTCCCGCTCCTTCGCCCGGCCCTGGCTTTTGGCAGGGATGTGCCACAGGGATGCGAGTGCCCGCTAGCCAGGTGGGCTTCTCCCTGCTCCAGCCCATCGCGCTCCGAGCTGCCGGAATTCAGCTGAGTGGCTTTAAGGCAGACTTCACATCCACGTCCTTTACACCCCATACGTTCCTACGAGAGCATCCCGGCCATCCCGCGGGTCAGCGCCGAGCCAAAGGACTTGTGGCAACAGCTAATTGCTTTAATTTGCATCGAATAGAGAATCCAGCCCCCTCTTGGACACAGCATGGGCTGGTTGGGATGGGGGAGCTAACGTCCCCCCCCGGCTGCTGGAAGAGCTGTATGTTGCCCAGCCTGCCCTGTCTCAGGGCTGTTTTAGGGCACTGGGGTTATCTTGGGGTGCTGGGGTTGTTTTGGGGTGCTGGGCCAGGAGCTGGAAGAAGAGCGGGACGGGATGGACCGGCCGTGGGCTGGCTTTGATGCGGGCTGGGGCGGCGAGCCCCGGCTTGCGCAGGACCCAGCCCTGCAGCCGAGCCGCCCCCGGGAGATCTCATTAAACTCTTGCCCAACCTGGCGAGTGTCACTGCGGCACCAACCGGGATGGTAATACAGGGGTTGGATTCAGCGATGGGTTATTTGTGCCTTTCACGGCAGCAAAAGATGCATTTGTTGTTTAATTGCAGCCGGAGGAGCTGGCAGCAGCGGGGCAATGCTGGGAGCCAGCGCCACAGCTCTGCCACCAGATCCCGGAGGATGAGCGGTTCGGAGCCAGCCGGCCTTGCCACCGAGGGGGTTGCAGGATCCATCCCGCCGCCTTCCCACCACCGGACGGCCACGCAGGGGGCTGCGGCTGCGTGGGAAGGGCACCCTCCAGCACCCAGCGCTGCAAATCCAGCCGGGAAGGAGAACGTTTGGGAGCAGAGACTGTGACGCCGTGCCCTGCTCGCACACGCGGGCGTGAGCAGGCAGCCCCGGAGCATGTGCGGTGCAGGCAGCGCGCTGCAATCCGAAAATGAAACCGGCCCCGACTCCTCGCCGTGACTCTCCACGCCAGAAAATGCACGCCAGCAACGTAAATAGGAAATTTGATTTATGTGCCGGTTCTCCCAGAAACAACTGTTCCCCAACCGGAGGAAAAGCAGCCGGCGGCATTTTCAGCTTTTTATAAGCATGAGGCTATTCAAAATTCACCCTGAGGACTGTTTTCAGGAGGGAGTGAAGTGAGGGGCTGGGAGACGCCCTCGCCGGCCCCGCAGCTCCCCGCTTCCCGAGTGGCAGAAATACAAAGTTCCCACAATCCCAAGAGCGGGAACATTGTTCCTTCCCAGGATGTCCTCCATGAAAAGAGCTATTCTGAGCCGGCAGCAGCCTTTCTTGGCACGGCCCCGCAGCCCGCTCGCGAGGCGGCTATAAAAGGCCGGGTTACAATGAACAGCACTTTTCAATGGGAGAGCATCCGGTGCGGGGGGTTCGGGGGGATGCGGGTCCCTGAGGGGGGTTCGGGGGGATGCGGGTCCTTGGGGGATCCAGCCCGCTGCAGGGGGGCTCGCAAGGCCTGGGTGGTGCAGAGCATCCCCCCAGGGTGGTGCTGGTGCAGCCTCTCTCCGTATCCTGATCCCCCGGGGACTGGCACAAGCAAGGCAGGAGGGGCTGGTGGAGGGAGGGGAGAGATGGGAAAGGGTCTGGCTGCAGCTTCCCGATGCGGGGTAAGGGGTGGGGAAGGAGGGGAGGACCCCAATTTCACCCTCCTCCAAGTTGGGGGGTGACGTGCTGATGGCACATCCCCTGCCCTGTCGCTGCAGAGCGAGCACGGCCATGGGAAGCTGTCCCAACTCCACGCTCATGGAAAACCCCCTGAAGTTTTATTGCTGCCCTTTAGCCAAGCCTGTTTTCCCTTCCAGCAGCCCGCTTTCACCAGTGGGGGAAATTTTGCTGATTTACCTCTGAGCAGAACAGACAGCCCCAGCCCACACACCCAGGGAAGCATGAGGACTCCATGGGAGGCAAGGAGGCTGACAGAGCCCCTATCACCCCCCCCCCCCAAAAAAAAAACCAGCACCCACATATTTACAGCACCACTCTAAAAGAGCCAAGGCCATTTGTGCATCAGGCCAGCACAAACCACAGCAAAAACTGCCCAGCACTGTCCTGCTCTTCTCTCTGGGAGCAGCCACCCATGGCACTGTTGATTCTCTGGGGTCTCGTAGAGGATGATGGCACAGCACCATCACTCCCTGCAACCTGCTGGCTGTTGCCACGCAAGCTGGAAGACCCCAGGGTGTCTCAGGACCTTCCCTCTCTCTCCTTTGGCTGAACTGAACCGACAAATTAAAAAGCAACAGAAGAACAGGTTAGAGAGATTCCCCACACTGCACAGGCTGTGTTTTCTTAGGAAATATGGTTTAAAGCCAGTAGGTTTGGGAAGGCTGACTTTGCTCTCCTATCCCCACTTTCTTGCAGGACATACACACTCTCTCATCTGGCCACCTGGCACTACACAACTTGCTGCATTAAAGGCCAGAGCTGGCCTTAATCTACCGCTCCGCGTGGGCTGAGCAGCGCCGCAGACCTCTGGGGACACGGGTGATGTTCCAGCGCTTTAAATCCAGGGGAAATCCACCCGTTTGGCTTCCCCTGATTGCTCCACCGGGAGAGACGGAATGGAGACAGCACATCCCAAACCTATCTCAGGCCAAACATGAGCTCTGCGCTCTCTTGGACCGCAGGAGCTCACCAGGACGACCTGCCGTGTCCAGTCCAGCTCCCCAGGAACCCTCTGCCCTGCTCCCGTTCACCCCTCACCGTGGCGTCTGGCACCCTTGCAGCCTGGTTTACACCGTCACGCTCTCCTTACACCCACTGCCTGCGGGGAAAAGCCCAGCAGCAGGGTGGCCTCTTTCAACAGCGTTTGTTTTGTTGCATGAAATGAATTGCTGTGGTGTAGGCGTGGGAGAAACCAGGCGCAGGGAGCTCTCCCGGGGGAGCGGCTGACTGGGGGTCCCCAGCTTTGCCCACGGGGACAAGGGGGGAGCAGCTGACAGCTCAGCTCCCCGCCAACCTGCCTCTCCTTCCCCACCACAGCGGTGCCCCCAGGGCCGGATTCGGTCCTTCCTCCTCACTGAGCCGCGGCGGCGCTGGCACCACAAACCCCGCCAGCGCTGAGCTCTTGCACTTTCACTTCATCTCACCCGCCGGGATTTGTCCCGATGTCTATCGCGGCACCAGGGTCAGTCCCCAGCAACCCCGTGGGTGCAGGAGGGTGGGGGGCGATGGTTTGCTCTGGCGGAGGAGGACATAAGACCCCTCAAAAACCACCGGCACTTGCACCCCAATTCCTCCGGCATGATACACAGCGCTGGCAGACCCGCTACCCTGCGGGCTCCGGCGAAACCAAAACGGAGCTTTTCAGATGCAACAAGCACATAAAGGCAAAGGCGAAAATAAAAGCAGTATTGGGACGGGGGGGGGGAATGCACAAGGACAAGGCTCTCCTGCACCAAAAGCAAGTTAAAAAGAAATCCGAGGCATCAACCTAGTCCCAAACAAGTCAAAGTGAAACCTGCCAGTAATTTCTCAGGCCTTTGAACTCCAAATCCCGTAACCTGCCAGCAAAACCCAGCAGCAGACGGGGACATGTGAGAGCAGGCAGCACCGGGTCCCTGCACCGGCCACCTCTTCCTCCAGCTGCTTTTCTACCTTGGTGCAGCAACCCGAAAAGTCCCCCGGGGCCACCAGCCCACAACTCCAGCACATCTTGAATCAATTTGCAATAACAATATCGAAATCGCAGCTCGACAACTCGTCCTGGTTTCCTTGACAGTAAATCCCAGCCTGGGCAGCAATGACTGTGTTATTGCTGCTGTGGGAGCCAGTGGGTCCGAGCGCTCTGTGGGTGACCCTGCCGGGGCTTGGCATGAGCACGACTGGGCATGCTGGCAGGGCACTGGGAGGCCACTGGGATGTTGCCCGCCGGTGCATCGGCCTCGTGCTCCGAGCCAACAAAGTCCTCAGGGAGCAGAAAGTTAAATGCACCGCTTGGCAAACTCCAGCTGGCACCTCTGCTTGGCACTCGCAGTGGGCACGGGGGCAAAGGAGAAGGGGGCAGGGGGGTGGGAAAGTGGGGCACGGCACCCACAGGCAGGGCAGCACCCCGCAACAGCGGCTGGGGCAGGTGGGCATCACCCCCATGGGGTCCTGCGCCCTTCGAGAGGGGCCACCCCTGCAATGGTGGGGGCTGCGGGAGTTGGGGGGCAGGCAGAGGAGATGGAAATGGGGGACCTTGAGGGGGACAGGGAGCCCAGGAGAAGGGGTGCTCTGGGGTAAAGGGGTGCTAGAAAGATGGGGGACCCCAGGACTGGGGGTACGCACGGGGGAACAGGACCCCTGGGATAGGGAGTGTCCACGGGGGAACGGGGTGCTCGGAGGACGCGGGGTCCCCGAGCCCCTGTGAAGAGGGAGCCTGAGGAAGCGGCCCGGGCTGTGTGTGTGTGTGTGTGTCCCCCCGAATAGGGGTGCGGGGGGGTGTGGGGAGAGGTCCGAGGGCTCGGGGCTGGCAGAAGAGGGGGATCACACTCCGGGAGCGAGGCGGGCTGGGGATCCGCAGGGAGGGGGAGCGGGGCCGGGGCTCCCGGAGGAGGCTGCAGGACCGAACCCCAACCTCGACACCCCCACCCCTACTCCGCCGCCACCACTTTCGCTTTGCAGCGCGGCGCTGCCCGCCCCCGTCCCGCTGCGCGCCCGCGGTTACCTGCGGGAGGAGAAGGCGACCGGCTGCCGCCCGCCCATGGTGGAGAGCGGCGGAGAGCCCGGGGCCGGGCCGGGACGGGGCGGGCGGGACGGGGCGCACGGCTCGGCACGGCAAGGCACGGCTCGGCACGGCAAGGCACGGCAAGGCACGGCTCGGTTCAGGCAGGAAACCGGAGCAGGCGGCTCCGCATTTCCGCCGAGCGGAGCCGCGGCGGCGGCGGGGCGCGGACCCCCGGCCCCGGGGCGGGTTATGTAAAGCGGAGCGGCGCGGCCGAGGGCGGAGGCTCCGCGGGGGCGGAGCGGAGCGGTGCGGAGCGACCGCGCTGTCTTGGCCGTCCGGTCGTCCGGTCGGTCGGTCAGCCCGGCCGGGTCCCGCCGACAGCTCCGCGGGTGCGCACCGCTCCGCGCCGCCCCTCCCCGCCGCTGCCTTTATCTTATCGCATCCGCGCCCGCGGAGGCAGCGGCATAAACAGCCCTGCTGCGCGCGTGGGGGGTTGGTTTTATTTTTTTAAAAAGTTTTTATAACTTTTGCAATTTTTTTCTTTGTGAATTTGGGGGTGTCTGGGCACCGCAGCCCCACCCCCCACCCCCATCCCGACCCCAGCCTGGCCCCTGCCCCCCGGGGGTCGGGAGAGCCGGCGCACGGGATCGTTTGGGGGTCCGGAGGCAGGGGTTGGGGGGGAATGTGCAGGAAAACACCCCGTTTTCCTGTCCCTGCCGTGCTGTGTCCTCCCACGGCCCCACAAGCTGGGACCCAAGGGACCTCTGTGGTGGCTGCAGTGGGCGAGACGCCGCCTCAAACCCTATTTCTCATCATTTTCGTCTGCCTTTCGGTCGAGGAAATCATCTTGCTGAGAAAGGCACCGCAGGGCATTGCCCACGCCCGGCTGAGCAGATCGGGTCACGGGGCCCACAGTTGTCTCGCACTGTGGGCGAGGGTTTCAGCCGTGCCAGAGCGGTCACGGTGTCCCTCCGGTCCCAAGCAGATCTTGGGGACTGGGGTGGGTGTGCACAGGCCATGCTTGGCCACCCCGCTGCCATCCTGGGGCCATCCCGTCCCAGGGGAGCAGGGGCAGCACGGCAGAGCCATGGGAAATGGGAGGACAATAAACTTTCACTGCACCTTTTTCCAGGAAAAGGCTGGTTTGTGGTCTGTACCGTCACATCTGACCCATCACCTCTCCTACCTGCATCCCTGACTGTCCCGAGAGCTGCTCCGGAGCCTTGTCCTCCCCAAGCAGCAGCAGTGCTGGGGATGGGTGTGTGTGTGTGTGTGTGTGTCTCCTTGCCCCACAGACACCCACGGGGTCACCCTGGCATGCAAGAGCTGTGGCAGAGCAGCCCTGTTTGGGGGCTGGCACTCTCCCAGCACGCCAAGACAGGGAAACCCAGGAAAATGGCAGCTGGGATTTTACAGACACCACGCAATCAATTTGTGGGTGCTGGGGAGGTGGAAGCTGTGGGGTTTTGCCCTTGGAGAGCAGGCAGAGGCACGCTGAGCTGTTTGTGACCGGGCATCTGCGTGTCACCACCAGCGGGCTCCATCCTCGGTGATGCTTTAAAATGCACCCCAGTTGTCCACCCCATTCATTCCCAATCCATCCCCTTCCAACAAGGAAAAGACTGAAATGGGAAGGAGGGTTCCTGGGGCTGCTGTGCCCCAGGGCTGGCCATCCCCAGACCACAGCCTTGGGCTGCTGTTGGTGCAGACACAGCCCGCTGTCCCCCTCCAGCCCCACCAACCCCTCCAGACCAGATTTGAGGTTTCCTGCAGGGCTATAACCCCACTTTCCCCTCGGGCATCTCCTGCTCCAGGGGTCCAGGCTACTTTGTAACCCACCAGTCCTCCCCAGACCCCACAGGGAATGGCTGGGAGTAGCTGATGTGATAAAATCTTACCTTAAAAGCTGCTTTTTAATTCCTCCCGCTGTTGCTTTATGCATAATTGCACCTTCTGGCTTTTTTTTCTGAGCACGGAGGAGTGGTCGCCAGAGCCCAGTGCCTGCCCTCCTTCCCACGGGTGGCTGTCCCAGCTCGCAGCTATTGCACACTTTTCTTTATGAGCTTTATCTAGTCCAAAAGCGCCCTCTCAGCACCCTCAGCCCCCGTGGCCTGAGATTTCTCTTTTGTTTTGCTTCCTGTATGGATTTTCTACAGTCCCTAACTGCTAATTCACTACCACCGACTTCTGCTTTTTCTGTTTGTTTATGCAGAGCTGCGCAGATGCCCTTGTACACGCGCACACACACACACACACACACACACACACACTGCCGCTTCCCTTCCGCTCTGCACTGGGCTCAGCTTTTAACCATTGCCTCTTTCTTCTCCTATAAAAGCCTGAACCAGCTTCCAACTGTCCTTCCCACTTCTCTCTTTAACTCCCACACTCTGGTCAGCTTCATTTTCAGGATGTGTGGGGTGGTTTGGAAGAGGCACATCTGCTTTTCCACAGGGTGGGATGTCATCAGCTGCAGGTGACCACTGCCATCCCACAGTGAGATGAGGGTCCCCCCTCTCTGCCCAGAGGGAGTCTGGCGGGTGACATCTGTAAATGCTCGGCTATGGGAGGCTGTGCTGAGCTGGCAGTGTCCCTCAAAACCTCAGCCTGGCTTTCATGTGCCCCTTCAGAGGGTAAGGTGGTGATGGGCTGGGTGATGATGGGCGGGGTGGTGATGGGCAGGTCTGTGATGGGTTGGGTGGTGATGGTCAGGGTGATGGTCTGATAATAGGCACAGTGATGGTCAGGGTGATGGGCACGATGATGGGCTGGGTGCTGGGCAGGGTGGTGATGATCAGGGTGATGGTCTGGTGATGGGCACGGTGCTGGGCAGGGTGGTGCTGGGCAGGGTGCTGAGCAGGGTGATGGGCAGGGTGGCGCTGGGGAGGGTGGTTCTAGGATGGGTGCCGTCGCTGGGCTCCAGCTGCCCTCTCCCGGACACCCGCCGCGCTGCACGCCGCCTCCCGCCCTTCCCACCGCGGCACTGGTGGTGGTGTGTGTGTGGGGGTTCAGCATAGCGCTCCCCCCCACACCCCGGTCCCCGACCTCCAGGCTGGGGACCTGCGTGGGACGGTGAATTTCGTGTGGGCCCGGAGCGAGACAGAGATGCCCGCACCCCAAAATGCACCCTGTGGTGTCACGCCAGCCGCCCCACACCAGGGTTGCTGTGACAGTCACAACTTGTTCGCCTCGAACCCCAGGGCACGGCTTCTGTGCCTATTTGGGGTCCCTGGGGACCATGTGCTGCTGGTCATGATGGAGCCCCGCACCCCTTCTCCTCCGTGTGCTGGCTGGGGACACGCACAGAGCCAGGCATCCAGCAGCCCCTTGATACACACCCCCCCCCTCCCCAGCACACCCAGATTTGCAGGAGGCCCCCCCCTGAGCCGGCACTGGCGGTGACTCAGAGGTCCCCAGCTCACCTCGCTGAGCCGTCAAGCACCCGCCGCTGCGTAACCGCACCACCAAGTCACCAGTCATGGGAGCAGCAGGAAGCGGAGGCCAAGGGCAGCCCACATCCAAAATAGCGCCCAGAAGCCCCTCACATCTTTTCAGCCCCTTTTCTTTGCCCTTTTCCCTGCTCTTGGCCAAGCTCAGCATGAGAATTCCTTTTCCCATCTTGTTCTGCAAGACCTGTCAGGGGAAACTGAGGCACGGGCTGTGGGCTCCTCGCTGGGGGGGGGGGACAACAGGGACAATATGGGGCCGCTCACAAAGGGAAGTGCTGGAGCCTCTGCAGCGACACGCGACTGTCCCAGGGGAGATCCAACAGGAAGCAAAAACCCATGGGGGAATTTTGCTGGTGGTTTTTGAGGAATTGGGGTGATTCTCCAAAGCAGCTTCCAAAGGGAAGCGGCTGCAGTGGAGGAACAACTTCTGCCAAAGTGGCTGATGGGGCTGCAGGAAGCAGCCAGGATTTTGGAGTCCCGGCAAAAGAAGACAGAGCCGGGAGCACGGCTGCCTTTTTTCAATTACCCCAGCTGGGCTAATAAAGATATTGCTTCTCCCCACGGTCCTTCCTGCTCCTAATCTTGCCATGTGAAAGGGCACCTCTCAGCGAGGCAGGGAGATAAGCAGTGCAGAGACCAGAGACTTCCCACCAGCAGCCTTGAGCAGAGCCACTCTGCTCAGCAGGGAAGATAAAGCCCAGATGGTTTTAGTGCTGGTTTAAATCCCTTTTTATAGTCTGAAAGAGAAAGTCTGCAGGTGATAGGGAAAACCCTCAGTGAACTGAAAACCACTGCTATGAGCAGAAGATTGCAAAGCCCTGAGCAGCCTTGTAGGGCGGTGGGTTCATCTGCAGGCGGGAGAGGTGAGGACCACGAACTGTGGGCAGTGGTGGTTGCAGCAGAGGTCTTGGACAGTAGGATTTCTTAGTTGGGGGCCTGCAAAATGAGCGCAAACACTTCATTTGCTGAAAAAGTACACATAGCTGTGCAGCCAAAACAAAGAAACTGGAGGAAAGGAACAGCAATAATGAGAGCAAACCCTTGATGCTGGTATTTACTGGGACATGGTGAGGACAGCAGTGCTGCTGAGGTATCCTTGGGCTGGTGGCACTTCCAGCATGGAGGGCCAACCAGGAGCAGAAGTCAGCCGGGAGACTTCTCCCAGCCAAAAGGTTTATGGTTGCCCTGGGATATGGGTACCGGCAGAGAATCCAGCCCTGGCCCCGGTGCTCGGCCCCGCTGGTCCTGCTGACCCCTGGCCCCGATGGGGCAAGCGCTGGCCACCCGGCACATCAGCAGCTCGAGTGCCGCGCAGCTTCCGCGGTCAGGAAGGAGTGAGGGGGCTGCGATCTCTGCCCACGCAGTTGCACAATGCCCAGCAGCTCCGGTGCCCAGCTAACAGCTCGTCACCCCTTGCTTTCTATCTCTTGGTGTCACTTGTCACCTTCTCCCAGACACCCATCTGGGCCAATCGGCTCCTGCCTCGGCTCCTTCTTTCCTTCTGACCCCCCTCCCCGGCTGCTTTGGCCCAGCCTCTTCCAAGGACACAGCTGGAAGCTCAACAGAGCGGCCAGGACTTGCAGCCTCGTACCTTGCAGCATCTCCCACCCTTGCAGGACCAAGATCTGCCCTGCTGCCTTCACCTCCAGCCCACCCCACTGGGCTTGTGTCGTCCACCCCCACCCATCAGGCTCTGCCCCTTCCCTGCCAGGTTCTCCTGAGAGTGGGTCTCTGCCCCAAAAACCTGACTCAAAAATTTAATGTTGTGCAGGTGCTTTCAGCACTAAGTTCTCAGGTTTCCCACCCGTGAGTACATCCATGTGCACATCCATGTGTCGGTCCTTGCACACATCCATGCACACATCCCACATGTACATCCATACACACATCAACACGTTCAGCCACGCAAACATCCACACACACATCCCTGGATGTGCGTATCCTCCTGCACTCCCCCCGGATCCATCTCTCCCCGGAGCTGGCTCCCGGTCTCCAAAGTTGTCACCCACCTAGGGCTTTGGGCCAAGCCAGGACCTCCCAGCACGGGGGCCGAGCTCCGGAGCAGTTTCTCAGCCGGGCGAAGGGCCCCCGCCCTGGCCCGCCGGGCCGCCCAGAGCCGCGGTGAGGGGCGGTGGCGGAGGAGGAGCTGGGCGGGAGCAGCGCTCCGCCCGCCGGGGCCAGGCCGGGCCGAGCCGGGGCGGCGGGGAGCCGAGGACAAAGGTGGCCGTGGGGGGACCGGGAGCGGGACCGGGAGCGGGAGCGAAACCGGGAGCGAAACCGGGAGCGGAACCGGGAGCGGGGAGTCGGGGGGGAGGCGCAGCGGAGCAGGGCTGAGCGGGCGGGAGCCCACCCGAAGCGGGGCCGGCCGGTGCCGACGGAGGGCATCTCCCCGGCTCCCAAACATTCCCAAGACTTTGGGGACCCCAAAGAGGTCCCCAAACTGCCTGGGGGGAAGGGGATCGCCTCATCCCCCCCGGCGCTGAGCACCCCGAGAACCCTCATCTCATCTTCTTGAACCCTGCGACGTGGCTTAATAGGAAAATAATAATCTTGGCGCACGTCCACCTTGTGCTCCGTAGCTGGGCTGATGTGAGAAACCTGCAGGCGTTTCGGTGCCGGAGTCAGCGGCTGGAGCGGGGACACCGGGGTGCTGGCCCCAGCGGCCCCCCGACACCGTCCCACCCCGGATCCAGTGCTCCCACAACCGCCGCAGCCCCCCACACGTCGCCGATACTGGTGGCCACCGGAGACCGGAGCTAGAGACATACTCCAGGTAAGGCAGAGAGCCAGGCATGGCGAGGCCACTGGTGATTCGGGGAGAAGGGGAGAGCTGGCCTTGCCCAGGTGACAGGGTTCATGGTCACAGCTCTCTGGAGCGGCAGCCAGATTTGCGGCACGGGCCATAAACCCTGCGTGCTGCGGGGAGGAGCGCAAACACGGGCAAACACGGTGACGTGGGGCAGTGAGACGAGCCCTGCCTGGGGCTCCTCTGTGAGAAAACACTCAGCTGGGGGGGGAAACCCCCTCCCAGGGGACCCCCAGCCCACCCGGTACCCACCAGACACAGCACCTTGGCTGGGAGTGGGGCTATCCTGGCTATCACAGGGCTGTTTATTCACATTCACTGGCTCTATTTCCTGGGCGCCAGGGCTGATGCTACCAAAACTGAATCAACGGCTTATTACTGTGCAATCCAGGCGCACCCATCCTCCCCTCGAGCACCCTCTGTCCCCGCAGGGCACGGAGCCATGAAGCTGAATGAGCGCAGCCTGGCTTTTTATGCCACCTGCGATTCCCCGGCCGACAACGCTGGCTTCCTCTACAAGCGTGGCGAGCGGCACACGGCGTACCATCGCCGCTGGTTCGTGCTGAAGGGCAACATGCTCTTCTACTTCGAGGAACGGGAGAGCCGGGAGCCGGTGGGAGTCATCGTGCTGGAGGGTTGCACCGTGGAGCTCTGCGATTCGGCCGAGGAATTCGCCTTCGCCATCCGCTTCGGCGGCACCAAGTCCCGCACCTACGTGCTGGCGGCGGAGAGCCAAGCTGCCATGGAGTCGTGGGTGAAGTCGCTCTCGCGGGCCAGCTTCGACTACATGCGCTTGGTGGTGAGGGAGCTGGAGAAGCAGCTGGAGGAGATGCGCTGGGGGCCAGCCGGGGGGGGCGGGGGCAGCAAGGGGTCACCCAGCTCCTGGAAGCCGAAGCCCTCGGGGCTGGAGCAGTCGCCGGGGCAGCTGCCGGCTCTGCCCACCATCTCGCCGAAGGAGAACGGCTGCGCGGTGTGGAACAACGTGCCGGGAGCGGACCGGCCCCCCGAGAGCGAGGGGAACCCACGGCCGCCGCCGGTGCCGCCACGCAGGTGGGCGTCGAGCAGCGAGGCGGGCAGCGCCGCGGCAGCTGCAACGGAGAGCCCGTCCACCTTCTGCCAGCTCCACCAACGGTACGGCTGGGAGGTGGCCCGGCTGCGGCAGGACTGGCTGGAGAGGCGGCGTGGCCCCCGGCCCTGAGAGGTGACCAAGCCCTGGGGACCTGCCGGGACCTGTGACAGGGAGGAGGTGATCATTTGTGGTGCCGCCTTGGCTCCCTCCTCACTCTGGGATGCGCAGGCCTGTCCGTGGCGGTGATGGATACCTGCTGATGGTGTCACCAAGGGCTCAGCACCGAGGGACACCGGTGCTGCTCTGTCATGGTGAAATGCCAGCCTGGCCACGGGTGGCAGCTGGACTCAGTGTGCCACCAGCCAAGCATGAAACCCCCGGGGTCTCAGGGATGCCCCAGGCATCTCGTGCCAGGCAGCAGGTGCACCCCTCCGGCCGTGCCTGGGCGTGGGTGCAAGGTGGCCCACCCATCGCAACCAAGCTACGAACCACTGATGCCTCCTGGGACTTGACTGCTGCACTGGGCCTGGTGGGGAGTCTTGATGCTCTTGCAGCGGCATCATGCACCGGCAGTGCTTTTGGGGGAGGATTTTGGTGGGTTCTCGCCCACCTGAGCCCCTGTGTGTGTTGTTTCACAGCCAGGGAGTCTGCTACTGCCTTCCCCTCCCTGCCTGGCACAAGCGACTGGCTGAGGTCGGCTGAGCTCTGACAGATCCCTCTGCTCCAGCAGGATGTGGTTTGAAAATGAAAATATCAGCGAGGACAGACCTTCCTTAACGGCAGCAGCACTGCACGCCCCAGCTGCCCGGGGAGCTGGTGACACCCGGCTCTGGGCGTTTCGCATGGGGCGATCGCTGCTCGCAGCCCGGCCGGTGAACCCGTGGTGGGGACAGACCCGAGGGAAACGCAGCAGCTGTGGGCACTGCCTTGCTGAGCAGATATTTTGGGGCAGGGCACCATCCACAGTCCAGCTCGCTAAGGGGAAGCATCGCTCGCGGTGACGAATGGGAACGTATGTGTCAGCAGTGGAGGGTGTCGAATGATTCATGTGCCAAATGGGAGCAAAGCTGGTGTCTCGTGCTGGTGTTTCTCTTTTCCCCAATGTTTTATATCAGTGCTAAAGCTGCTGGGTCGGAGGTGGGGTGACCCACCCTGGGTCTGGAGGGAGCAGTCAGGGTGCCCCAGGTTTGGATTGGGTGGCTCTGGCTCCCTTTGCCCCCTTGGGAAAGGCACAAGATTTTGCTACAATAAAAGTTGCTTCAGAAATTCCCTCCTGGCCCTGGTTCACGTTTGCACCTTTAAGTCCCCGGGGAGGGGATTATTTAAAGCCAGGTGGGAATTAATTCTCCATTTCAATCCCCCATCCCCACCATGTCTGTGAGGCTGGGCAGGGACTGTGTCACTCGAGTGGGACACGGCCAAAACCATGTGCCCTGGAGCTCCTCATCTGCCTTCAGGGATGGGGATGGGGATGGGATGGGGATAAGGATGGGATGGGATGGGATGGATTGGGATGGGATGGTGCCACCCCAGGGACATCAGGACACAGCGCCAGGGTGGTCTCAGCAGGGACAGCACGGTTCTGCCCTCCATGACAGCTTGAACAGCCAGGCACAAGTGACAAATGCAGGGGTTTGGGCATTGGGAAAGGGTTGGGAGACTGAACGAGCACAACCCTTCCCTAGCTTCACCAGTGGAAATGGCACTGGGTGCCCTGGCATGAGTTGCTGGTGCGTTACAGGCTCAATGGGGTGTTACAACCATCCCTCCAAACCCCAGGTTACAGGCAGCACCCTGTGATGCCACCCAGGATTGGGTGGCCCTGTACCCTCAGTGGGTGGAATGTCCCCAGCCCTCTGCCAAGGGGTCTTAGCCAGGGACAAAGTATCTGTCCCCTTGTCAGGGTTGGTGTCAGTGCTATGCAGGGACTGAGGACGCAGTCCTTGTGGAAGCAGACAAGGTGACCCTGTGTCCCTGCTCGCGACATCCCATCTGCGTGAACATCTCCGGCTTCTTGTTAACATGGGGTCTTGCAGCGGGTTGGGAGGGTGATGCCTCTTGGGGAAACTGAGGCACGAAGCCAGCCAGGGTCACTCGCTTGCCGAGAGCACTGCAGAGCGTGAAGCCCCGCTCCTGGCCAGGCACGGCACCCCGCTACGTGTTTTGGCATTTGGAGCGGTGCCACCAAGGGCAGCCAAGGGGCTGCTGCACCCGCAGCATCCAGATGGTTAACGCAGCCCCATCAATCGGCTGCAGAGAAAGATTCTGGTTTCCATGGCAGCCGGCCCAGCTTCTCCAGACGTTCAGATATTCATTAAAAATAAATCCTCCCCAACATGTTAGCCGACAAACAAGCTTAAACAGATACGCAACATATGGATTTATTAATTCATCAAACGCAAACACCCCCGCCTCGTGTCGGAAGCTGCAAGCTTGCCCGGCGATGGCCGGCCCTGATGAAGAGCTGTGCCGGGGTGCGGTGCCGTCGGGCAATGCCAAGCCAAACCTCATGCTGGAGGATGCTGAGTTACCCCAGGGGCAGGAGCAAACCTGCACCAGGGATGAGCGTAGGACTTTCACAGGGCAGGACTGCACCCTGAGCTGGACTAACCCCATTTAACATGCTTTTTTTAACTCCCAGCCACTGGGAGATGTTTATGGCAGTGAGAGCTCTTGCCACAAACCCAAAGCAAGGTTGTGACTTTGAAATGAGCCAAAATCAACCCAGTTGCCCGACCCAGCTGCCTCCAGACAAAACACATCCCAAGGCCAGAGTCGTATCCAACTTCTGTATTTAGTGGCTCTTTACAGAACTTGTTCCTTCCAAAATTGTTAAACAAAGATCATCGATCTCATAGAAACTTTTGAAGTACAGTACATGAGCCTAACAAAAACATGACCGGTATGTCCCGCTAGCTTTAATACAACAGGATTGCCGTGGTCAAGACTATCCTAAGTGCTCCCTCAAATCCCGTTCCACTAAAGCTCCCGGTAGCACACGACGGAGAAGAGCAGTCAGTGGTCACACCTCGACCTTCTGCAGCACGGTGGCAGGGAAAAGAGTGGCCGTGGGCAAGCTAGGGCTCGCTGGGGCAGGGGAGGTGGGCAAGGAGAGCCATGCCTTCGCAGAGCCGCTTTTAGCAGCGCTCATCGACTACCACCCGAATATAAAAATACCTTCTCTTCTGATAAAAATGTATACAGTGGAAAATTAGTCAGTGCATAGCCTCGGAGCCTGGCAGGGGAGCCCTCCCGATGACGGTGGCCTTGGTGGGTGATGGCTGATGCCGTGCGGGCAGGGGACAGGGCAGAGCAGCCCAGCACGGGCCACCCTGCGTCGTTTAAAGGCATTTTGTTAGCAGAGGCCGGCTGGCAGTGGTGGGGTCAGGGAGATGGCGGGGAGCACGCCGGGAAGGTGCCACCACTGAGCTCTTGAGCCTTCGCAAAGGGTCCGCCCTGAAGGCCAAAGCTCAACGGTGCTTTGCCCAGTTCAGGTCTAAGCTTGCCCAATTCAGGCAGGAGCCTGCCGTTACACCCTGGGGCTCAATCCCAGCTTTGTCGGCAGCCACTGCTTGGGGACACGGCTGCGGCGAGGGGATGCCCCTCGTGCCTGGGTTCCTTCCCAGAAAAAAAAGTGCTTCAGCCGCAAGAGCTGGCTGTGATGCTGGGAGAGGTCCCGAGCAGGGTTCGGCTCCCCGTGAGTGGGTGGCTCATGATTTTTGGCTGCTTGTCCCCAAGCACTGGTGCCCTAGGGGCAGAGCTTGGGGCCTCCACCTCTTTTTCTTTTTCCCAAATGGATGATGGCAGAGGGCGGGGAACTGGGATCCCATGGATGTCCATCCCCAGCGAGCCGGGGCCGTCCCCAAGCATCACACCCAGGTACCTCTTCCCATTTCGCTCCCAAAATCGCAAGCACAGGTTGCTTTCTTTGCTTTTGCATTATTTTTTTCTCTTCCTTTGGGAGCTGGCAGGAGCCGCCCCATGCCGATTCGGGGCTGCCACCGGTTGCTGGCTGGAGGAAGCGTGAGGGATGGCGTTTGGACCATGCTACATTTTGTTCCAGAAGGCTATTGCAGACATTTCTACAACATATACAACCGCACGGGACATTCTGTGTTACAAAGGTTTCAAAAAACATAAACCACCAGAACTAAATACATACTTGATGGCATCAAGGTTTTTGCTTTAGAGTCTTCAGGGACTATGACACAGTCTCTGGCTGGGGCAGAAGCGATGCAGTGTCTTACAGACAAAGGTGGAAACCACTCAGCAATAGTTTATTAAATTTGGTCAGTCTCATAGTGCTTCTTGATGGCTTTGCTCAATAAGTCTTTTCTGTGTTTTTTTTTTGTTTTGTTTTGTTTTTTTTTTAATCTCATCCAGTGGCAAACTACAAGACTTCAGTGTACATTTAATGACACGATTGCTACATTATCTTGATTTTATAGCTATCTTTAATATCAAAGCAGCTTAAGCTGTTAATAAATTCCAAAGTATCCTTTTATTAAAATATCTAAAAGAGGTCTATAAATATTTTTTGTTTTTTTCTTTTCTAAAATTGTTCCCAGTTTTTTCACATTTAAAACAAAGCCAGGGGGGGCAGCTTCGCAGCGCGGACCCCCCCCTTTCCACGGGCGCTCCCCTCCGTGGTGCTGGCCGCCTGTCGCCTCTTGGTGCGTGTCGCATTTAACAAAATATATATATATATGTGGGTGTGTATATATATATTTAGGGCGGCGGGGTGGGGCAGGGGCGGGGGTGGGCTTCAGAACTCCCACTCGAGGGCCTCCTCGCGGTTGGCGGCCCGCTCCAGGCGGTGGATGATGTTGTTGAGGTTGGCCATCTTCTCGTGGCGCCGCTGGACGCTGGTGCTGAGCCGGGGGCCGGGAGCCGGCGGCAGCGCCGGTGACACCGGCCCGGCGGAGGATGGCCCCGGTGAGGCTGAGCCGGCGAGGCCGGGCGAGGATGCCGCCGAAGGCGACGTCGGGGAGACCTCCAAGCTGCAACGGGATGACCCCGCCGAGGACTGGGAGCCGTCGGGGTGTGGCGGTGGTGGCGGTGGGGGTCCCCCGGCGGCAGCACCGGCACGGCCCCCCCGCCGCGGGAGGCTGCCGGCACTGGGGGCGGCGGCGTGGGGGGCTGCCCCCCGTTCCTCCTGGGGAGGTCCGGTCCCCTCAGCCGCCCCGGCCGGGCTGCACGAGTCCCGCCGGCGACCCCAGCCGCCCGCTTCCCCCTGCTCCTCCTTCACCTTCACGGGCACGGCAGAGCAGGGGTGCTCACCCCCACCAAAAACAGGTTTACGGTCCTCAGCATCCGAATCGGGGCTGTGGGGGGCCCGGCGCCCACTCTGCTCTGGGTCCGTGTCGTTGTCCTGCGTGCCTTCCACCAGCATCTCCCGGCGCATCCGTGACCTGCCGGGACACAACCGCGGAGGGTCAGCGACCACCAACCATCACCACAAGTCTTAAAAAAGCATCTTTGGCCAGAAAAATGTGACGACATCGCTTGAGGTGTAAAACCCCACCTTGTCAGCTTTTTAAAACATTTTTTGAGGGGAAAAATCACTGCCACTTTAACACAGGGAATGGATTTTGCAACACTTTGGGCTGTTTCCAGCCAAATCAACACTGTTTTGCAAGTGTTTTTCACTACCTTTCTTTTTTTGTTGTCGTTTGATACATAACATTTTTCAAAGGTTTATTTTAGGGCTGTTGTGTTTACTGAGAGCAGGAGGGGCTTTCCTGGATCCATGCAAGCGGAAAGGTCGCGGGCTTAAAAACCCCATTAGTCAATGTTTCACCAAAAAGCCCGATTTTTCAAGCTCTCCCCTGCACTTCCCACACAATGGCTTTATGCAAGAAACCTCAGCCAGCTCCTGTAAATATTGACCATCGACTTTACACTGCCCAGGGGGAGTTGGAGGCAGTCAGAGGCTTTGCAGACTCAACACAAGCACTTATATGTCTTTTTATACTGGTTTATATAGGGCAGAAGCACAACCCATCACCTGGGCTGTTGCCTCAGGGTGGAGCAGCTCTTGGTGTGCATCTGGGTAGGATTCGGGAGCCATGTGGCCACCTGCAATACTGCCTGAGGATGAAGCCCGTGGTAGTCCCTGGGGCTGAGCTGCTGCGGGGATGGGTCCTGTATTCCAGGAGCCTCCAAAAAGCTTTTCTTCAGCCATCAGGGAGTTCCCGGTGCTTGGTGTCTCGCACCGGTGAGCAGCTGAACACGAGCATGGTAACTTCTTTAGATGCTCAACATGACTT